CGTGTGAGACTCTGTCTTAAAGAATAAGAAATCAAAACAAAAAAGATTTGGGGGAAAACAGGCTATTGGTAATCTGTAAGTGATGAAGATGGGATAGAAAAGTGAAGGTTCATGGGCTAAAGGGCCATTCATCTATAATATACAAAATAGTAAACCAGGGTAGAATTGGGGGCTCACAGGTTATTCTCACCAGGCAGGCAAAGGGCCCTCAGCTTCACGTGGGCAAGCTGGATATCAGCAAGACTGGGCATCTCGTCCATAGAATCTACCAAGACAACATCAGGGTGCCCAGCCTGTAGCATGGACTCCACTGCTCTGCAGGGAAGGAAAGGAGTCAGGAATTACGGCAAGGCATCTCCTAAGAATACCTAGCCCCAAGTGTCATCACAACTCCTCACCTGACATCTTCTTTGTTAGGGTCGCTGGCTACATAGAAGCCTCCACATCGGAGAAGGTCACTGCCGCCAGGGTGGTGCCAGGACAAGCGCTTCATAAGGGTGAGAAGAGGGTCATTGTAGAAGAACTATTCTTAAGCTGCCCTTGTCCCGACAATGACCTCACAGGAAGCCCTCCAATCCCTTTTCCCCTGACCCTCTAATCTCAGACTAACCGGTCCACGGCCCTGCTGGAAGTGGGCAAATGCTCTTCTGACCTCACTGTCCAGAATTCGATTAGGGACCCAGAAGTAACCCGAGAGGCTGCAAAACAGAGAGTGACGTCAGAGCTTGTCAGTGACCTCTGCTAATAGGAGCTAGTATTACAAAATAAAGAGTGACGTCACAGCCTGTCAGTGACCTCTGCTAATAGGAGCTAGTATGACAAAACAAAGAGTGATGTCACAGCCTGTCAGTGACCTCTGCTAATAGGAGCTAGTATGACAAAATAAAGAGTGATGTCACAGCTTGTCAGTGACCTCTGCTAATAGGAGCTAGTATGACAAAACAAAGAGTGATGTCACAGCCTGTCAGTGACCTCTGCTAATAGGAGCTAGTATGACAAAATAAAGAGTGATGTCACAGCTTGTCAGTGACCTCTGCTAATAGGAGCTAGTATGACAAAATAAAGAGTGATGTCACAGCTTGTCAGTGACCTCTGCTAATAGGAGCTAGTATGACAAAACAAAGAGTGATGTCACAGCCTGTCAGTGACCTCTGCTAATAGGAGCTAGTATGACAAGGAAGTTATTTTGGAAAGACCATTCCAAGGGATCTCAGGTTTTAAAAACAGAGGTAACAGAGCCTGGAGTTTATGGGAAGTTCTGGCTTAGAGGATCAAGGGACTCTGGGAAGACCTGGAAGGCAGCAGGAGTGGGTGGATGGGGACATCACCTGGTAGCCATGTCGAACCTCTCGTTGACTGTGCTAACCCTCCAGCCTCTGGCCCCCTGCTTCTTCCGCTCAGCTTCCCAGTCTTCTAAAGTCTCCAAGAGAAGAATAGGTGGTTTTCTGGAGCCAGTAACCTTGCCTGGAGCAGGAGTGAGACACAGAGGAAGAAGAAATATTTTATCCAACTAGCCCCTTCCGTTTCAAACTCTTCCCATCTCCTTAAGCTAAGGCCTCACTCACCAACTTTGCTCAGGGTTACTCCTCTGTAGTGCTGCATTTGACTACTCTGAGCTCGGGCTTGAACGATGGCCACGGTTACCTGGAGAGGAAAACATATTCCATCCTTTAGCCCCAGACGAAAGGAAAAAGAATGAAACGGAGCACATGTTGCTCCACCATCTTTACCACCAATAGCGCAGAGAAGCTAAGGCAGGCCCCAGAGAAGGGGGCCTCCACAAGTGGGTACTGGGACCAGAGGGACAAGCTTAGAACCACAGACTCAGAACATTAATTTGGGGGAGGAACCTTGGGACTATTATCCAACTCTCCACAATTTTCAGAGGTAAAAACTTACCCATAGTTACTGCCCGCAACCGACAGAGGCAAACTACAGTTCAGGCCCCTCCCACTCATGAGACTATCACTCCAGTCTTTTAGCTTCTAGAGTGGAGTGGACTGATGAGAGAGCTTGGAGCATGGAGAAGAGGCTGGGTTCCTAAGGTGAAAAGAGTTCTTCAAATGAAAGGGTTCTTACCTGAAAGGCCTGAGGCTCTAGCCCTCCAGCCTCAAAACCAACTCGAAGCAGACGGAAGTCTCGGCCATGAATGAGAATCTCCTCTGGGATGAACTTAAGCTGGGACCCCGGACGGAGGAGCTGCACTCTGGACAAGCCGCTCACTGAAGCGAGAGTCCAAGTAGGATAGCTATGGGTCACTCTGGGAGGACTCCCTGCAGTCCAGCCTGCCCCGCCCCTTTTATAAAACCCTCAGGCTTACCAGCCTCTAAACGCCCAATGTTGACCAGGGCAAAATCATATTCACTGCTCAGGGGAGTGTCCTAAAGGAAGCCAAGCCAAGACTGGTGTTATTGACCTCGGACAGCCATCATTGTCCCACCTTGGTGACTCTTCTCTCCCCTCCCCAGTAGAAGGCAACTTACTTCCCTAGAAATAATTCCTACTATCAATGATACATCCAAAAGAAAACCCCTAATCCTGTTTGTCCGAATCCAGATTCCCTTGCTGTTCACTCTAGCTGTCCTTTATTTTGTCCAGTAACAAGAGTATTGCTATGTAGCCTAGGCTAGCCTGGAACACTCATGGTCTTCCTGTCTCAGCCTCCGGGGGGGGGGGTCACAGGTCACTGCCACCATGCCCAGCTTCTGTCTTGTCTATTATCCTAACCATCTCACCTGATTTCGCTGCCATCCACAAGGTTGGAAGGTGACCCTAAAGTTAGTGCAGATCAGAGTTCCAGGCAGTTCCAATTCTTGCCCCTTCCTCAGCCCTGGTGCCCATGCTAGGATCTTCTCCCCTAAAAGGGAAAAAAGGAAGCAAAGTTCTAACTGTTCCCTATGCTGCCCACATGTCTACATCTCTACTCCTCTTTCTAGAATGGAAGATAGAAGGGAAATGATTTGCTTTTTTTTTCCCCTCTCTCTCTCCAGACAGGGTTTCTCTGTGTCCTCAGTCCTGGCTATTCTGGAACTCACTTTGTAGACCAGGCTCCAGGCTGGCCTCAAACTCACAGAAATCCACCTGCCTCTGTGTCCCAAGTGCTGGGATTAAAGGCGTGCACTGCCATCACCACCTGGCTATGGTTTGCATTTTTTAACCTCTAAAAACTCAGTGTACAAAACAGGGCACATAGTAGACACGCAATGATCATGGACTAGTTAATAAGAAAAGGGCTAACCAAGGCAAGAAAACAAGAGGGAACATTAAGGTTCCCCAGCAGCTCTGGGGAGACAGGAGAGCAAGCCTCAGGCAGAACAACTCCGACGAAAGGAATCCAGAGCTATGTCTGGTGAGAACATACGAAGGCTGGGGTAGGAGGAATCCTGATGGAGTCTTGGGAAGTCAAATTATTACCTGGGAGACACCCAGAGGCCAGGCAACCGCCAAGCTGATGACTGCTGGGCTCCGGCATCCTGTTGCCTCCGCCAGACTTGGGTCCAGAGAGCTGAGAAGGGGAGAGTTAATCTGGGACTTCCCAACCTCAGGATCTGGGATTTCTTCAGCAGCTGCTGGCAGGGACCCACACTGAGCCTCTCCCTCTCAGGGAAACTGAGACCAGTGACTGCCAGGAGCTCAGGCCTGGGACTGGCAGACAGGACAGGGAGGGGCTAGTTAATGGATAATGAGACAACTCGAGACTGAAAAGTGCAGAGCAAGCTCCATGGCAGTTGATAAAAAGATACACCCTCCTCCTCTGGACCCTTTGCTTCCCTCTTAATTTCCACAGCATCCCTATTCATACCGTCTTGCCACCCCCTCCCCCCATTCCTTCTCCTTACCATCTCTGGCTCCTCCTTCCGGGGGGCAATGTTGAAACTCTGGCCCCGGCCCCCCCACCACATTTCCCTGGCTCCATCCGGGAGTGGAGCAGCTAAGGGTGGGAGTTCTCAAAGATGCTCACTCTCTGGAGAGAGGCTAAATCCTAGAGGTGGGGAGAAAGAGGCCAGGGAGGACTCAGGGGAAACAGCCTTTGGGATGCCAAGAGCACAGTTCCGGTGGTCTTACTTGAAAGGTGTGTCCTGCCCAGACACGGGAGGCTCTTTGGAAACTTCGGTGAGTCTAAAGAGGACAGGCGAGATGCCCAACCCCTTAAAGGAGAATACGCACAATTTTTTGGAAAGTAGAAAGGAAATGGAGGACCTTAAGAAAGATGGGAGAAATGGGGTAACTGGGGAATACCCAAATTCCCTTCACCCAATCCCACATTCTAGTCCCTTTAGTCCCTTTTCTGTTCATGAATATTAGAAGTGTGGAGGCAGTAATACAATTATTAGATAGAAACATTTTGTGCTAGCTCTACTGTTTCAGTGGAAACGAAACACTAGGAAACTCAAGTGTTTTGTTTGGTTTATTTATGGGTTTGTGATTATGTTATTTTGGCCTGTGTTTTGATTTTCAACCTTCACCGACAAGCTAACGACAGGGCTTGAGAAGAGGATGTAAATGGGAACAGGACCTTGTGTCCTTTCCGGAGAGCGTGACAGGCCGAGGGGCAAGTGGAGTGGGCGGAAGTTGGTGCGTCTAGGATGCAGACGTAGTACAGGTATTTTGGCGTGCAAATCTCGGCAGTGGGGCGGAGGAGGGGGGAGGCGGGTAGAAAGCACAGGAAAAACTCATAGTATCTAATCCAGCCTTTACGCACAGCAAGCGCACCTCCCTGTTCCCGCCTTCACCTATTCCCCTGGAAAGCCCTGCCTCCTCCCCTCCCAACCCAGTCACCAGATCTCCTAATGAATGATTCATGTTCTGGACTTTGAAAGCTAAGGGTTGGAAACCTTCTTTCAGCTCCAGGATCACATAGCCCCCTCCTTCCTTAACTCAAGGAGCAAAGATGGGGGTGGGGTGCTAGGAGACGCGGAACAGAGATGGAGGTGGGGAAGGCAATTCGAGGGCAGCATGTTTAACACGGAAAAGACAGGAAATGAACACAAAATTGATGTTAATGAGCTGCTGTTTTATTGTTTCTGAGTCTGTACAGAGGCAGCAATCCTAAGGTGGGGGCCGTGACACCCAATACTCCCCTCCCCACAGCACACATCCTTCCAGCCTCAGCTTCCCAAGTTCCCAGGGTTGGCAGCAACTGTGGAAATAGTGAAGGTAGCCCGAGCAGAGTCAGTCTGGAACAAACAGGTATGTACTTGCTAGCAAGAGCCCCAGAAGCCCGACTGTAGGAATCCAAAAGGCCGCTGACCACCACCCCCACCCCGCCCCACACCTCAATGTCTTGTGGAATACAGTACGGGCTGTAAGAGGGAAGCAGCAGGTAGAGAGGTGTGCCCCACCCCCATGGTTTAAAATCCCACGATCCACTTTTCCTCACCCCACCTTCTTCCTTCAGAGAGCCTCATTCTATTTTTTAATACCTCAAGGTATGGGAGCAGCAGAATACAGAGGAAGGAATAGTCAGAACTGGGAGAAACCATAAATAAATTGGGTGATTTGGATCATCACCTAACCAGAAATGCGAAAGGGGTAGCAGCCGTGGGTTAGGTAACGGAAGATTGCAGCACAAACCCAGAAGCCCATGGGATGGAAAGGGCAGAGAGGGGCAAAGAGCTCTATCAGTTTTTCATTTTCAGACCCCTATTTTGGTTACACGTTTGTGCCAGGAGCAAGGGCTGTTGGGAGGGGCAGCCGGAGGAGGGAGGTGGAGCTGAGTGACTCAGAGGATGAATCACAGATCCAGTTATAAACACAGAAAGAGGCCAAGGTCCTTCCCACCCCACTCCTTAGACAGCTTCCATCACTTCTGCTGCCCCCAACCCAGACAGCCAATGGAGGAAGCAGACACAGGAATTCTACAGGGAAGCGTGGTAGTTAATCAGCTTAAGTCTGCAAAACATTAAAAGAGACAGAGTGCCTCCATGACTCATTGAATCAGCAACTGGAGATGGAGGGAAAGAAGAAAATTATGAGACTCTGGGGTACATGTGTTTCTAAGCCAGAAAATGGCTTCCAATTCACCTATGGCTATATGGCTGATACTGCCTCCTTGGAAAATGAGGGCACAGTCCAGAGGTGTCTGAGTAACTCACAATTATTTCCAAATGCTCCTTTATTGAAGGAAAAACAAAGTGCCTGGAACCTTGGGCATGTGACTGAAGGAAGAAAGGCAAGAGCCAGATCTCAGAGAACCAGCTCCATTCTCTGGGCTCAGGATCACCTCCCAAGTGTACAATATAAAATCATGCTAATTTTTGCTTTATTGGTCTGTGGCCTTTGGAAGCCTATAGCGAGGAAGGTACTTCTACTTTAAGGCACAGCAGGGAACTTAACACCATCCGTCACTCTTAGAAATTGCATCTTAAAAACTAAATAAAAAGATACGATTTATATTATTTATAAAACAGTATGAGGAAATCTTTTGCAATTCTCAATTAAGCCAGCATGAGTTAAGAGGAAGGATGTGGAGGATGGCCCTCTGGTGTATTTGCTGTAAGCTGAGAACACAGAATGTAGGGTGGAGAGTGCAACCATGTTAAGTGAAAGGAGAAAAATAAGAACCCTGAAGATCTCCTCTCTGCATCCCACTTCAGCAGAAGCCCAGATGCCCTGGATTGACAGGAATAATTGCACTTAAATGGAAGCCTGAGAGATGAGGCCATGCCTCATCTAAGGATACAGGGTCTGCCTTCCGTCACTCATGTGACCTCCTAAACAAGGGAGGTTCTACTCACTTGAAAGCCCCCACATGGCCCTCCCTCCCTTTTCCCCACCACAGCAATTGCATGGGCTCGTCTATCCCAAAAGACAGGCCGGTCCGTATCGGTTTTGTTTTCTAGACATTATTAATTCCATCCTACTCAACCCCTCCTTCACCCCCAAAAAGAATGAAAAATAAAGTCCACCACTCCTTATTTTAAAAAAGAATGTTTCAGAGAATGGAGAGGCCTTTTGGTGTCATCCTCCCAATTGAAACAGATTTAACAAGAAGTTAAAGGGCCTAAGACCCATTTTCCACACCATCTTAGAACACCCTTCCCTTTCCCTGGAACTTCCTTTTATTTTTGCTTTGGAAAGGCAAACAATTAAGATTGGGTACCATATGAATAAAAACAAACATGATACAAGGTTTCTGTTTCTCTTCATTTGTCCTCAGTTTTTAAAAACAAGAGTGGTAAATACAATCTAATAACAGATCAAGTCCAAACACAGCAGTCCAAGGAGAGCAACTCCCCTGTTTTACTTGATAGGAAAACCCCTGCCAGGCTCTCTGTTCCTATCCACTTAGGCAGGCATCTATGCAGGGTATGGGAGAATGACTGAGCAGTGGACACCATGGTGTCTGTAGTGTCAGAAGGGAGAGGCTCATCTGGTGAAGGCTTCACCAGTGTCATTCAAACTCCAGGAACCGGGACAAGTCTAAAAGGATGAGAACAAGGCACAGGCATTCATTCACCTTGGGAGAAAAACTGAAGGAGTGCTTAAAACCCAGGAATCAAGATAAATACTATCTTGATGCAATATTTTTTAAAAAATCAAAAAATGTTTAAAAAGAACAAACTTTATGAACGTATCAAAATTTAAATAGGATTTGTCCTCATAGTTGTTCAGTTCAGGGCTCACTTCTTTACCTTAATACCAATTCCTGTTATATCCCAAGATTTTGATGTTTTGGTCAATCTGGGTTTTATATTGTGTTTCTATACTTGACGGTGTGACCCTAGCACTTGGGAAGCTGAAGCAAGAGAGTCATACATTTGAGGCCAGCCTAGGCTACAGAGTAGGACCCTATCAAAAAACAAACAAACAAAAAAAAACAAAAACCCCTCAATTTTTGAATAGACCTTTAAATTATACACCAGTCAGAAATGCTTGTCCTATATTAGGTTCCAGCTTAAAGAAACCTGGGCGTGGTGGCTCATGCCTAGATCCTACAATTCAGAAGACTGAGGCAGGAGGATGGCTATGCATTGAAGGCTAGCCTGGTCTATGTAGCAAGTACCAGGCTGGCCAGCCAGGACTAAGTATCAAAGAAACAAACAAAAAATTGCCTAAAAATAACGATAGGAAATTATTAAATCAACAGATATGGTAGATATGGAAGTGAGTGACTTTCAAATTTTTGGAGGGGAAAAACTAAATAATTTCACTGAGAAATTTTTGACTAGCTTCGTTATCAAGGCGAGGTGTGACCATTTTCCTAACCAGGCAGAAGAAGCATGTAGACAAGGGTTCCTCAAGCATGCACGCACGCACGCACACACACACACACACACACACACACACACACACACACACACAGAGCCATTTGTGACTTAGATCAAATGTGAGAATTACATTCCATTAGTGGGTGATGACATCCCTCACTCAGCAAAGAAATCAAAGCCCAGAGCACAGTCCAGTTAACACTCCGGACACACCTCTTTGTCATATGCAGCCACAAGTGTACACAATTGCATAGATGATTTTTCCCCCAGAAAAAAAATATAAGGAAAAAGGACAATTGGTGAAAGATAGTCTTCTGGTTTAAAGCTCTTAGAAATGGCTCTGGTCAGAGCATAAGCTGTCCAGACTTGTGCTTTGTGCAAACTGCAAGGGCGCTCTCACCACTGGGGCCACTCCACCCCTCTGGAGAACAGGGTTGGCTCAGGAAAAGGGAGAAATCCAAAGGCAGATCCGCTCACTGGGCTAATCTGGGCCTGTGGCTACGGTTCACTAAAATATATTTCTCTAGCTACCTTTATAAAAGGCCCTTTCCCACACTTCAATACCAGCCCTAATATCAAAAATATTCTTCTTACAAAGTATTTTTATTATTTTAATAAACTAACCATAGATTAAGGTCAGCTATGGCTTAACAAAAGAAGCCAGGATGTTAAGTTCATTCTCCAGCAATAGACAGGAAGGAGAAAAAAAATCGCTTAAATGGGGATAGGGAGTAAGTAATTTTTAATTCTTTTTTTGTCAGGATCTTATTTCTTTTTCTTTAAAAAATTAGTACACTAAGCTGCTTTCTCTAGAAAGGCAGCCGCAGAGGACGAGAACTCTGTATAGGGTTTTGGTATTGTTTCAAACAGTCTGGCCGAGCGTCTGGCCTTCCTCCGCCTTCCTCAGTGCACTCAAACCCCACATATAGTTATTGCTAAGTAGTTAAAAATAGATTCCTCTGTACCCACCCACCTGAAGAGAAGCCCACACACAAGGCTGCTCTTACCACCCTCCTCTCCCCCTAAAGGGACTTGCTTTTAAAATAAAAACTTTTTTTTTTTTAATCACAACTTCTTAAAACTTAGCTGAACTTAGTCCTCAAAATGGATGAGGAAAAGATGGGGGCAATAGACAATCTCCCCTAAAACTAGAACGGATGACAGATGACTATCTAGAAGAACATAACACTTACGAGGCAAAGAATCCCCCTTGAAGGTTCCTATTTCCACTCACTGGGATTTAAATACCCTTTCTAAGTAGGCCAAGCACACATGCCTGACATCTACCTAATTTAGACCAGGATCAAACTTGTTCTCAGGTTCGCCCTATGCTCCCAATTCCATCATCATGTGCTTTTTTTCTAAAGTCAATGAACTTTGGTCTATTTTTCCTTAACTGACTGAAAACCTTCTTTCCAGGTTCCTCCCACAAGATGTCCACCCACCTCCCACCCACACACACCAATTATTTCCCCACTTTCCCTTGGGCCCTGGAATAGGGCAAGAGGTTATGAGATAGTCTTCCCCTTCTGTCTTGCAGTCTCAAGCCAAACTGCGTAAGAGTAGTACAGCCCTTGAGGTAGGACTAGCCCTGTCCTGCTCTCGCCAGCCTGCCAGCACTCCAGCTCCCACAAACACTCTGCACTTGCCCCATCAACACAGGGGCCGGGTCTTGATGAGCCAGAGCTGAGCTTAACTTTTCTTTGTTTAGCCCCTTCCCGCCAGGTCCCACCCATTCAGAACCTATGCGCCAGCAGTTCCCCCCTCCTCAGTTCTTCCCTGTAACAGCAAGAGCAGAAGTTGTTTGTCTCCGGGTGTCCATAGAAGCTGCAGTTCGGTTGTTTGCATTTGGTCTGGGTTGGGGGAATGCCCTGGGGACCTCCAGCCCATCCATCTGGCTCAGGAGGCTCTCTGTAGCCATTGCTATAGGAATCAGCCACACGGAACTGGGGTGGTAACAAGGCACCCCTGTGAACTCCATCTTTGCCTGGCTCCAGAGATGGGATGTTGTCCTGGTGGGGGTAGGGTCGCCCAGGAGGGTACTGTCTGGGAAAGGTGGCATATGGTGGAAGGCCACCTACACATGGGCCCCCTGCCAACTGCCGGCGGGGCTCCTGGCAGTGGACTCCACCCCCAGAAGGTCGCGGGATAGTAAAGCCCCCAGGGTAACCAGCAGAGAATGCCAGTGCCTTCGACTCTGCTGGGGGGTCACTGGGGGGGACCTCCCCACCATCTGGCTCTGGCTTTTTGGCTGGAGGAGGCCCACTAACTAACCCTCCATTCATGATCTTCCTCTCAGCTTCCTTCTGCTTCTGTTCTGCCAGGAATCTCTCCTCAGCATCTGCAAGGTAGCGCTGGATCATCTCCTCCTGATATTGGTGCCGGTGGCCCATCTTCAGAGTTCCAACAAAAATAAATTTGCCCTCCCCTTGCATTGCAATCCTCATAATGCTCAAGCTTTGCATCACTTCCTGGCTATACTTGCTCCCTCCATTGCCAGCAGACTCAGACGAGGGTTTCTCTGACACAGGCCCATCCCCAGCTGCATCCTCCTTGCCACCCTTCCAGCTCTTCAATGAGTTGTTCTTCTTCTTCTTCTCTAGTGTCTCGGTACCACTGCTTATTCCAGACCCACTCCCCAGTCCTCCAGGCTTAGGGCCCTTGCTATGCATCAGGCCCCCCATGTTCTTCTTAAGCTTGCTGCCCAAGGTCTTGCCAAAGCTGCCCAGTTTGTTAGCCACAGAATCTGCTCTCTTCTTGTCCTTCTCCCGGTCTCGCTTCGACTTCTCCTTCCGTCTGCTGCCCTCATTGCCAGTAGAACTGCTGCCAACTGACTCCTTGTCTGATTCTCCAGACTCAGGAGTGGATCTGGGCTCGTCTCCAGCTGAGGCTGTGGGGGACTCTGGCTGGGCCAGAGGAGCCTGTAACAGAGAGCACCATTGACAGTTACCTCACTGGTTGGTGTGGGTAAGTTCCCACAGGCACGGAACCTATCTAACAGTTTACAGGGCTCCCTGTCACCTCTGCTATTGGCCACACACAAAAAAGGGTACTATCCTGATTAGTGCCTTTATCACTTTGATATTAGTTAGGGTCATCCAGGAAGAAGGAATGTTAGTTAAAGAGCTGCCCCATCATTCTGGCAAGCTGGCAAGTCTGAGGAGCCTTTTCTTGATTAGTGACTGATGTTGGAGGGCCCAGCTCACGGTGGGTGGTACTGCTTCTGAGTAGTAGTCTTGGGTTGTGTAAGAGAAGTCAGGAAAGCAGGCTAGTAAACAGCGTTCCTCCATGACCTCCGCTTCAGTGCCTGCCTCTATGTTCCTGCCCTGGCTTACAACAATGCTGGAGTGCTATCAGAACACATACATCAAATAAACTCTTTCCTCCCCGCATCAACTTTTTGGTCATGATCTTTACCACAGCAACAGGTAGCAAACTAGAACAGGTGGCAAGTGCACCATGAACCCCATCTGTCTAGCTCCAGAGAAGGTTACTAGTATGACAAAGTTCACTCAAGAAGCCACTGTCTTTTCTGGCTTCAGCCAGATGGTCATGGGCCAAGAAAAGATATTTATCTACTATCTAACTTTCCATCACTCACTGAAGTCTGATTTCCTTCTGTAATGAGGAGATTCAAGAGGGAACCTGAGTGTTTCACAGCAGTGAGGCACTGTAATGCATGGCCTCTGGGTGAGCAGGGGCGTTTTCTTCCTTCCTCCTTTTCCTCTCTTCCTTTTCTCTTCCTTTCCTTCCTTCCTTCCTTTTTTTCCTTCCTTCCTTCCTTCCTTCCTCTCTCTTTACTTCTTTCTTTCATTTGAGATGGGGTCTTGTTACACCATCCAGAGTAGCCTAGAACTCATAATCCCCTTGCCTCAGTTTCCCAAAACACCGGGACTAAGGGTATCTGCTACTTTGCCTAGCTGGAAATTTTTTTTTGCAGATACCAGTATGCTCATTATTACAAGTCTGTCTATGTCCAATTCTGTTCAGAATTCGTTTCAAGGAAGCCTTAGCCAAGCACAAATGCCCAGGCCTGAGCACTGCTTTTGTAGATTCCATCTGCGGAGTTCACAGCTTTGCCTCTGCTCCTGAACTTGTGACCAGGAATCTTTGGCTCTCTTTCTGGTGCCCAAAAAAGATCTATCCAAGGAGTGAGGGGCAGGACACAGAAATGACAATCTCAAGTTATTTAGAGGAAAAAGAAGAAAGGTTTCTTAAGGAGTGTAGGTTAGTATTAGGAAGCAGAGTCTGGAGCCAGGCATGTCACTCAGTGGTGAAGCACACACCAGCAGGTAGAGGTCCTGGGTTCAATCTCCACGGAGTCAAAGAGTAAAGTAAATAAGGAAGCAGAGAGTGACTGAAGACAGAGAGGAGAAGGGCATGCTCTGACGTCATCATCAACTGTACTACAACAGATTCTAACTGAGCTCACGGGCTCTCCTTGTTCTTCCTGTCACTGACAGTGAGGACACAAAGGGTATGGGTGGGAGCAGCCTTCACCTGTGCATCAGATGACAGTGGGATCCACTTCACATTCATATAGCTATGCAGCAGATGTAATTTGACCTCCAGGGACAGAATTATACTGTGAAAAGGAGGGAAGAAAATTAAACAGCTATTACTTCAAAGGCAAGCAGTCCTTTGGAAAGGACTCAACAGTGTCCAGATACCAGACAGCAGTCATTGTCACTGCTGTGACATCATTTGGCAGATTCTGACAATCAAGTGAGGACTATAGCTTTTGGTTTTCCTTTTGTTTTAACGGAAGGGACTCATGTAGTCTGGGCTGGCCTTGAACTTGCAGTGATTCCCCTGCCTCAACCTCCTGAGTGCCATGTGGGATATGGCCCACGCACAATGCTCAGTTCTAAGAACTTTTTTTTTTAAGTACTAGACTTGGGGGCTGGAGAGATGGCTCAGCAGTTAAGACTGCCTGATCTTCCAAAGGTTCTGAGTTCAATTCCCAGCAACCACATGGTGGCTCACAACCATCTGTAATGAGATCTGGTGCCCTCTTCTGGCCTGCAGGCAGAATACTGAGAATACTGTACACAGAATAAATAAATAAATCTTTTAAAAAAAATAAAGTACTAGAAATTAAAATCAAACCCTCCCAGGCAGCTCCCAAAGGGAGGCACTGGGTAAGATGTAAGGGACCTGTGTTTACAGCCACATCTCTGCAGGTGTGGAGGGAAGTGGGAAAAGATGCTACCAGACCACAAGGAGGCAGCTTTGAGAAGCAGATGAGAAAGAACACATCTTCCTTGCTATCTAAACACCAAAAAGAAATTTAGGAGCAGACTATTTTGGTCACTTGTTTAAAATTCCTCTGCTTTGGCTTAGAATCAAAAGGAATTAGCTGGGCAGTGGTGGCACCTGCCTTAAACCCAGCACTTGGGAGGCAGAGGCAGGCGGATCTCTGTGGGTTTGAGGCCAGCCTGGTCTACAGAGCTAGTTCCAGGACAGGTTCCAAAGCTACAGAGAAACCCTGTCTCAAAAAACCGAAGTGGGGAGGAGAATCAAATGGAATTTGGGTGTCTTGCTTTTCTGAGCACTGTTTGAGGATTCTGGGATGTATCAGCAGGAACATCTGTCCTGCTCTAAGAAAAGGAAGAAAAAGCAGCTGCAAAAGCCCAGTGAACCAATGCCCGGCATGCCTTCCGTCTTCTCTCCCCCTTCCCAGTAAGCCCAGACCAAGGATGTGACTGTCCTAGCGTTGTACATGGCCACTGCACGTGGAAGAAAGCGCAGCTACAATGCACACGGAAAGGCTAAACTCGCCTCACCTGGCCAATCGGACATTGTCATTGTCATCTTTGCCCCACTCCCAGCCTTTTCCTGGGTCCACAGCAAAGTGCAGGGGCAGCAGCTTATGCTCTGAATCTGTGAGCGGGATCACAGCTGGGGAGGGAAAAACACATGTCAAGAAGTCTTTCTGAGAAGCACAGAAGGCAAATGAGCACGCATTGACTTCACTGACTCATATGTAGGCCTGTGACAGACTGTATTTCATCCACCCTCAACCCTTAGAAGTGAAGTACATTCCCCTCACCGAAGGACTTCCCCTCACCACTCAGTACACAATTTAGCCTATTAATCTCCTGGACTTCTGCCAGAGCACCAGACTACTTTCTGCAGACAGGTGCAGCAATGTAGGCCTTAGAACAGACCTTTACTCCAGAACAGGGACAGACACACCTTTTCACCAAACCACCCCCACTTTTTAAAGCTAAAAACTCTTGGCAATATTGTATAGCTTGGTTTAAAAAACAAAAGCTGGCACTGTCTGGACTTGTTTCCTCCTTCTTAGCTACTATTTTCACTTTTGAGTAAAAATAACACAGAGCAAAACCAAGACAGAACCGGACCCTCACCTTGTTCCTTGGCACTGTCCTTCTGCTCCATCGACACAAGTGCAGAAAAATGGGCCTGGTCATAGGCGAGCACCAGAGGAGATCGGTGACACTGGCTGGCTGGGACCTCCAAGGGGAGATAGATCCCTCCAAATGGAATAGGGGCAAATGCTGCAGGAAACCACGGAGGTTGTCACTAAGGTTAGGCCCTTGTGCAGTTGTCTCTCTACCCCACTTCCTGTGTGTCTGTGTGGGGGCATGCACACAACTGTAGTGAATGCTAGGTCCCCTGGAGATGCCCAACGTGGGTCCCCACAAGCAGTTCAAGCTCGTAACTGTGGAGTCATCTCTCTAGTCCCTCAATCCCATATTTGAATTGAGCACCCATCCCAATCCCAACAGCTTTCATTTGAATCTCTTAAGGATTTTCCACTATTTTAAGCCCCCACCCACCCCAAAGGTCTGAATATCTCCTTGTCTGTCTTTCTGTTCTGTCCAGCCAAAGTCTCTGTAAACGGGACAGTCTGGAGGCAGAATGACAGGACTGGCCGGCTGACTCACCTTCCCCGCCGGAGTCCCTCAGCATGGTGTCTGCCACGACCACTATAGGCCTCTTGAGCACATGAGCAAGAACAAAGACATGGAATTCCTCTAGGCTCTCATATACTGGCTCCTCTGAACTCTCCACTCTACAGTTACAGGAGATGAGAATGGAGGAGGCACAGCAGAAGGGAGAAGAAGAAACAAGAGTCGTGAGACCAGCTCCAAAAGAGGGGAAGGAATGCCCTGCAGATTATGTTGGGGCACATGGTTGAATCTACTCCCACTTTACCAATCAGGAAGTCCAAGAAAAAGGCATGGGGTTCAAATGGTGTTACCAGTCTGGAAGTAAGGGGCTGGTGACAAGGATAAAGGAGCTTGCCATCATGCCTAACGACCTAATTCAATCTCTGAGACTCACACTGCAGACAGTGGAAAGTGCTGGCTCCTGGTACCGTGTTCTGACCTCTGTGCTGTGATGCACGTAAGCACTCACCACTCCTCCACCCACGCACACACATACAAAATAAATAAACATTCAAAAATCTGGAAGTGATCCCCATCTCTTAATACTCACCCTTAATATTCAACTCCCATGTCTCTCTATCCAAGATCCAGTACATAAACTCACAGCTCCATCCTGCTTTCCTGACCACCACAATCCACACAGCAGACACGTCATAGGAGAGACCTCCATCTACTCGGCAGCTTAACTAAAGTTTATAAAATGTGTTCTTGTTATTACTTAGCTTCACCTATTCACTGGCTGGATCAACTCCATCTCCTGTGTGGCTCTTGCAGCTCCTGCATGTCTACCTACCATTGTATTCCCACACTCCTGGCCTGGAGTATTGCAAACACTTACCCACCACCACTGGTTCCATTGGTACCTAGATGCATTCTGGGTTCACTTGAGGCAAGCTTGATCAACTCATTCCATTCCTTCTGCCATTCATCTTCAGTATACACCAGTCCTGACTATGAAAGAAATCGTACAGTAATGAAGGCACACCGGGCAAGCAGAGGTTAGGTTCGAAAGGCAATAGCCATCCCAACCCTCCCAGCGTGACATCCACTCTCTATTCTCTGAGCACTTGGTTTACACTTACACAGAGGCAAATTTCTTCTCCTTTTCAGAGTCAAGACCCATAAAATCGGTTGGCTGGTTTTGAGACAAGGTCTCACTGTATAGTTCTGGCTGTCCTGGAACTCCCTATGTAGACCAAGCTGGCCTGCCTCGGCCTCTGCAATGCTGGGACTATAGGCACGTCACCATGCCCTATCTCATTTCTTTCTGAAACAGAATCTTTTGTATTGTCATTGAATTAGCTGTATATTGAGGCTGGCCTTACAATTCTGGTCCTCCTGCACCTGTCTCCCAAATGCTGGGATTAGAGGCACATGCTGCCATGTCTAGTAATCTCACATTTCTTAATCTTCTGTTCCTTTCTCACGTGTTGCGATCTGACTCCTAGTTCTGCTCTCTCTGCTACTACCCTGTCCACACAAGGTACATCACCTGGCTGACTAAACTGACAGTCAGTGGACTCTGGCTCTCTTTTCAGTCTCTGAGTACTTTCCTCTTTGAGTGTTCTAGTTTAGCTTCCACACCACTGCCTTCTCTTATTCTCTGAACTCTCCTTACCACAAAACTGGGGTTTGGGTAACCATATGAGCCTTGCTTTCCTCTGATGACTCCACTTAGGTGCTCAGGACTCCAGAGTCAGCCCTCTCCCAAATCCTTTTCATTTTTTGTTCTATACCTGTCTACAAAAAAAATGCAACCTATCCAAAGCAACTTTAAATTCTATTATTTTAGAATTTAAATTAAAGTCCTGTCTCCTCACATACTCATTCTTCTTCCGATATTTCTTTTATTTTTTTTAAATGATTTAACTTTATTTTACATGCATTGGTGTGAAGGTGTCAGATCTCGTGGAACTGCATTTTCAGACAGTTGTGAGCTGCCATGTGGGTGCTGGGAATTGAACCCAGGTCCTCTGGAAGAGCAGTCAGTGCTCTTAGCGGCTGAGCCATCTTCTCCAGCCCTTCTTCCGATATTTCTACCTATTGAACAGTACCAACTATCACCCAGATACCCAGACTAAGACCCAGAGAGTAGGCTGAGGTTCCTCTTCCTTCACTCACCTCACACCTGCATGCCTCTGTCAACACTTACTAAGCACGCCGTGCAATGCGGCGCTCTCTGCTTTTCTGAATTCTTCAGATCCATTCTTATTAGGCTACTGCATTTCCCCCCAGTGATCAAAATCTAATGCCTTGTTTCCTGAGAAGACATTCTAAGAATCTTTACTGCCCGTGGTATACAAAGCCTACCTCCTGTACCTGCCCCTTCTCTGCACGGGTCTTCTGTTGCATGAAGTCTAATTGGTCTTAATAATCAAAACCCAGAGTCAGATATGGGGCAAATGTTGAAAGATCAGAGAAACAAAGGAGCAAACCACAGCCAACACTTACTTTGCTAACTCCTCAGCCAAAAAAGGCCAAGCTCCTGTCCCCTCCCACCTTATACTTCTCTCTCTGTCCAGCCATAACACTTCCTGTCTGTCTGTACAGACCTCCAGACCTCTGTGGTTAACTAGTGGCTAGCGTTGTCCTCTGATCTTCAAGCAAGTTTTATTTGTTAGCGCACAAACAAAATATCACCATATTTCCCCTTTTTGTCTAAAATAAAAAGGTTATAACTAATATAAGAAAAACTATATACAATAAGTATAATAACTATATACAATATATACAGGCAATAACAACAATGTCTGATCCATTAGCAATTGACAAATTGAGAGAAAATACTCCATAACTATCCTATCTTGGTGAGTCCAAACGGTTGTACTTAATTCACTATCTATCCTAACTTGTATTACCAACCCAAAGTTATCTTTTTATATCTTTCAACCTTATATACTTAACACCTCATTTGTAAGTTTCTTTTCTGAATTTGTTAACAAGGAAAACTATATTTGTTGTACCAACGTGGAATTCTCAAGTTTCCACATAAGACCTGAGAAAGCTTGGGGGGGGGGGGGGGTTGAAACGCATAGACTTTGTGTCTCTCATGCAGGCAGGCCATGATGCAGAGACAGCACAGCATTCAGGCTGGAACACAGCATGGCAGATTCCCACCACAGTACACAAAGGTGTCTCCAAGCCACGGAGAGCACTGCATGGTGAAATTAGCTTTTACTCATACAGACAAAATGTTTATGGCCAGCATGCTACAGGCTGCCTGATGGTGGCATGGACCTGCTGCTTCCCACGGGCAGTGACCATGGCTCCCAGAACTGGCGGTGACCTTACCTCCGCCATGTTGGAAAGCCAATAGGGCAGAGCCAACAGTCTAAGCTGTCATGTTGATCCTAGCCATGCCTGCTTAGTATTTTAAAAATTCTCCAGGTAGAAAATGATTACAGATACACAATAAAAACAGATTCAGGGAAAGAAAGAAAAAAAAAAACCCTCTAAATAGGTCACAACATGTTTAAACAATGTACACAGGCTTAAGAAAGAAAGAAAATGGGGACAGTTATAATTTTAAAAAATAAAATTAAAAGCCGGGTGGTGGTGGCGCATGCCTTTAATCCCAGCACTCGGGAGGCAGAGGCAGGCGGATCTCTGTGAGTTCGAGGCCAGCCTGGTCTACAAGAGCTAGTTCTAGGACAGGCTCCAAAGCCACAGAGAAACCCTGTCTCGAAAAAAAATAAAATAAAACAAAAAAATAAAATTAAAGTCTTTAAAGAGACAGTAAAAAATAATATAAAGAAAAATAAACCACATAAAGATGGAAAATCACCAAGCAGCGGAGCTTCAATCAGCTCAGAGACTGAACCCGGATGGCCATATATTTCCATGGGTGATGAACTCTGCTCTGTCAGCACTGTCTGGTCAGAGATGCCGTTTCTGATGTTGCCACATGTTGTTGTCTCTCGAATTTAAAAGAAAATCTTTGAGTTCAGTACACCAAAAAAAAAAAAAAGATGGAAAATCACAGAGGATCTGGATTATGTATACTATTACATTTTATTTGAAATTTTGGCTGTTAATGAGCTAACTACAGAGAGACATTTGATTGTGGGGGCTGCTAAGCTAAAGCAACATGCAGATATCTTGACTTCAAAATATGGGAAAAGACGTTGTGCTTTTGTTTCCACAGGTGACAAGAGGCTGTGGATTTCTTTCAAGTTATCATGGTTTGATTGAGCAAGACCTCCCAAGAGGTCTCCAATGGGAGTGATGGCCCAGGTGATCCAATATCCAAAACAGTTTCCAAGCTGCTGGCTGAGATGGACCAACCACACAAAATACCCCAGTCAGGGTATTCTAAATTTTCTCAAGTATCCCATGAGATTACCAACACCCCCAATCAGCCAGAAGTAGTATAAAAAACTACGCCTAAATTCCCAAAATGTTATTTATGAGTTTGTTTTCATTTAAAGGGGGTTGGTTATTAACGATCATAGTCAATCTCTTTCTAGAGAAAAAAAGGAGAATATGATATGAAAACAATTTTTAAAAAGGTAGATTATTAAATCTACTTTAATACAAAAACAACTGTTAACCTCAAAATACTTTACATTGGTATATATTTTGGTTTACTGGTATAAATTTAAGGTCAATTTTCTTTATTTCTACATGTATATTTCTATTCTCGTTTAAAGTATTATGTTTATGTAGTTCATTTAAAATATAATGTATAGGTAAAAAATACAAATGAATAGTCATCTATCATAGTCAAACGTCACATTAGTCAGGTTTTCTAGAGATGGAGAGATAGGTAATCTTCAAACACTTCAAAGACCTATAGAATATGGCATTTAAAATGTTTTAATAAACTTAGAATTCTTAGGATGTGAAACATCTGTTCCTTATGGAGTTTGCTTTCAATGTGGTGAGACAAGACATTTGGGCAAGAAACTGCTCTTTACTGGACTGTTTAACAAGATGCTATATAAATTGAACATGCAGGACCCATAGGAAAATGACTGCTGAACTTGCCAAGACAAGGTGGGACAGTCCTTCAGGGTTCCTGCTTCATAAAAGAGTCTGCCAGACATTCTACAAGACACAGAAGAAAGTGACTGATGAATTTTGCAAAAATAAGCAGGACAGTCCTTCAAATTTCCTGCTTCACTGAGAAATCTGCCAGATACTCGAGGCCTATAGGCTGAAGATGGAGGCCCCAACATTGCAGAAGAACTTTGGACAACTGTCCATGAAGTCTCTGTCATTTCTAGAGTTTTGGAAAATGCTTACAATGCACTTCCTGTTTGATTAGGTAAATTAGATCCTTCTGGGGTCTTTGATTGAGTTGAAGACTAAACAGTTATAATTACAGTTTTCCTTGGTTAAGATAAAAGATAAATATAAAACTTTAGACTCACAAAGATAAAACAGATGATGGAGTATTTAATTTTGTCAAATACAAATAGACTAAATATTTTAACTGCAATTCTTGCTTGATAACTGTTTTGTTATATGTAATTTTACTATATTAAAGTTAAAACCTTCCTTTTTAATTAGATAGAAAAGGGAGATGATATGGGATGCCCCTCTGTATATTGTGAATATGTTTTATTTTATTACCACTGGTTAATAAAGAAGCTGCTCTGGCCTATGGCAGAGGAGAATATAGGTAGGCAGGAAATCCAAGCAGAGAGAGAGGGAGAAAGAAGATGGAGTCAGAGAGATGCCAGCAGTTGCTGGAGGAGTAAGATGCCAAAACATTATTAGTAAGCCACGGGGCAGGTAGCAATACACAGATTACTAGAAATGGGTTAATTTTTATGTAGAGCTAGTCAGTAAGAAGCCTGAGCCATTGGCCAATTATAATTACTATTAAGCCTCAGAATGATTATTTCCTAAGTGGCTGTGGGGATCAGTCCAGAGGGACTGGGTAGAGACAGTCTCCAGCTACAGGCTCCCCTCTATCAGGGCTGCTCCTGAAGAGCACTGCTTCTCACTCTGATTGTTTACCATAGGTATTCCTCCTGCCTGTAATGACCACTTCCAGTGTGCCTGGTGAACAATTCTTCACCCTTCATAGCAAAGCTCTCCTCTGAGTCTTCCCCAGGACAGTCCCTCCTTCCTGTGGATCTCTCCTCACCTGTTCTACAGAACTCTATTAGAGACACCATGTCTGAGTCAGGTGTAGTGGCGCACACCTCCACCTGCAGGAAGAAGAGACAGGCAGATCCCTGAGGGTGCCAAACCAACTGAGGCTACCAGTGAGACTGAAAAATCAACAGGAAACAAGACACTACACTATGTCTCTTTTGCTCTATATCTTTAAATGTCCATTTTATTCTAGTGCTCTACAAGAAAGAATCATGTTTTATGCAACACGGCCCAGGGCCTATTATATGATCAATAATCAATAAATCCATGCTAAGTGAAGTTATAATTTTTATTAAAGGATTATGTATAGCAATACAAATAATTTGCTTTGTTTTCTTGGTTTTGAACAAGGTCTCACTGGGTAACTCACAGCAAACCTCCTGACAGACATGCCTCAACATCTAGCCAAATGACTTTAAGATATATTGGCTTTAGGGGTTGGGAATGCAGCTTAGGTGGCAGAGTGCTTGCCTAGCATTAACGAAGCCCTGATTTTTATTTGCAGTATCAAACTGGGTATAGTGGTATACTCCAATAATTATGGACAATCCTGGCACTCAGAGGATGATGAGAAGTTTAAGGTCATTCTCAGCTACAAAGTAAGTTGGAGGCCAGACTGGGCTAATTGAGACTCCGTATTGATGAGAGAGAGAGAGAGAGAGAGAGAGAGAGAGAGAGAGAGAGAGAAACAGAAGAAAAGGTTTTAGGACATGTGATGATTTGATTTTGAGAGATTAAGTTTATCTTATCAGTATATTTTGTTTCGCATTAAAACTGAATTTCACCAGATGAATCTAAAATGGCTGAAAGAAACTTAAGGAAATGCTCAACATCCTCAGCCAGAGAAATGCAGATTAAAAGAACTCTTAAATCCCATCTTACACCTGTAAGAATGGCCAAGATCAAAAACACTGATGACAATTTATGCTGGAGAGGATGGGGACAAAAGGAACACTCCTGCATTGCTGGTGGGAGTGTAAGCTGGTACAGCCCCTTTGGATGTCAGTGTGGCAATTTCTCAGAAAATTAGGAAACAACTTACTTCAAGACCCAGAAATACTACTTTTGGGTATATACCCAAAGGATGCTCAATTGTGCCACAAGGACATGTGCTCAACTATGTTCATAGCAGCATTATTTGTCATAGCCAGAACCTAGAAACCACCTAAATGCCCTTCGACCAAAGAATGAATAAGGAAAATGTGGTACATTTACACAATGGAGTACTACACAGTGGGGAAAAATAATGACATCTTGAAATTTGTGGGCAAATGGATGGATCTAGAAAACATTGTATTGTGTGAGGTAACCCAGACGCAGAAAAGGCAAATATCATATGTACTCACTCATAAGTGGCTTTTAGACATAAAGCAAAGAAAAACCAGCCTACAATCCACAATCCCAGAGAAGCTAGACCACAAATAGGACCCTAAGAGGGAGACATACATGGATCTAATCTACATGGGAAGTAGAAAAAGACAAGATCTCCTGAGTAAATTGGGAACCATGGGAGAGGGTAAGAGGAGAGTGGGGAGGAAAGCGGAGAAAAGTATATAGCTCAATAAAAACAATTAAAAAGATAAAATAAAATAAAATAAAGAGAAAAAACTGAGTTCACTGCTCAGCTACATCCTGACAGCACATATGCGGCCACCGTGGGCACATGAGCAGCACCAGAACAAATGGAATGAGGGCTAGAGCTATGCTGACAATACTTTAATAAAAATGCAAAGTAATTTGCAAACTGTAAAATACTACCACAGACTTCAGATGAAAATAAAGAGGACAATACAGAAGTTATATATGGAATGCTCATGCCATTTTCATACACATCCAGGAGGACCTGCTCTGATTCCTCCTCTCCCTATCACCTAGTTCTGCTGGTTCTGGGCTTTCTGAGACAGGCTTTCTCTGTAGCCCTGGCTATCCTGGAACTCACCCTGTAGACCAGGCTGGCCTCTGCCTCCTGAGTGCTGGTATCAAAGATGTGCGCCACCATTGTCTGGCTTTTCTTTTTTAAAATATTAATTACTAGCCGGGCGGTGGTGGCGCACGCCTTTAATCCCAGCACTCGGGAGGCAGAGGCAGGCGGATCTCTGGGAGTTCGATGCCAGCCTGGTCTACAAGAACTAGTTCCGGGATGGGCACCAAAGCTACAGAGAAACCCTGTTTCGAAAAACCAATATATATATATATATATATATATATATATATATATATATATATATAATATTATATAATATATATAATATTATATATAATATTATATTATATATTATTATATATAATTATATATATATATAATTATTATATTATATATAATATTATATTATATATTATATATATTATATTATATATATAATATAATATATATTAATATATAATATAATATATATAATAATATATAATATAATATATATTATATTATATATTATTATATATATTATATATATAATTATAATTATATATAATATTATATATATATAAATTATTTTATGCATGTACTTTGCCTGCATGTATGTACGTGCACCACATGCTTGCTGGTGATCAGTGAGGTCAGAGGAGGGCACTGTTTCCCTGGAACTGGAGTTATGGACAGCTGTGAGTCAGCAGAGCTCTTCCACAAGAGCAAGTGCCCTTAACAGCTGAGCTCCTCTCCAGCCCCTAGGCTTCCTGTTTCAATACACACAGCCACTAGGTGGCAGACGCTCCCAACAAGTTTTACCATCAATTTCAACACAATATAAGAAGAAACAGGAAATAATGAGTATCTTAAAACTCAAGTATCTCAGGTCATCTCCTTCCTGCTCTCAAGGTAAGGGATAAAGTCATCAAAGTTCAAGCAAGACAATCATGAATGACACATTTCCAGTGGGAGACTTTCGTTATGCCACCAAAGTATGAATAAAAGGATTGCTCCTTCACTAGCCTCTAGTCTATGCACATATGCCCCAAAAGGAAGAGCAGAAAACATAGAAAGGAACTTAGCTACTTCTGCTTCTCCTGAATAAACAGTTCCAGAATCTAACTCTATCTTTAAAGTAACTATAATAGGTTTAATAGTCATAATTGAGATCTACACAGCAAGTTCCAGGACAGCCAGGGTTGTTAAATAGAGAATCCCTGTCTCAAAAAACAAAACAAAAATCCAACATTAATTTCTTATATAAAAGTAATTACAATATCAGCCAAATCTCTGAACAGTAATATTTAAATTCAACTTAACAAGTATCTTTTTACATGTTTTAATCAAACCAAAGCTAAGTATATGAAGAACAAAGTTGTAGACTATTAAAAACATTCAAGCATTTACACAAGAATTAAAAACATGGGTGGCAAGCAGTTAAGGGTACTTGCTACCAACCCTGAAAACCTGTTCAATCTCCAGACCCCACACTGTGGGAGCAATTTGTTTCATACAAGTTGTCTTCTGACTTCCACATGTGTGGCATGGCATGCACACATTCACATATAATAAACATTTTTTTTTTTTTTTTTAGTTTAGTTTTTCGAGACAGGGTTTCTCTGTAGCTTTGGAGCCTGTCCTGGCACTAGCTCTTGTAGACCAGGCTGGCCTCGAACTCACAGAGATCCGCCTGCCTCTGCCTCCCGAGTGCTGGGATTAAAGGCGTGCGCCACCACCGCCCGGCATTTTTTTTTTTTTTTAAGAATTAAGAAGAAGCTGAAAATAGTGATTTACCCATATCCTAGCAATTGGGAAGCTGAGGGAGAAGAACTGCTGCAAATTCAATGCCAGCCTGGACTAAGTAGTGAGTCCCAGGCTAGCCTGGGTTACCAGAGTAAGAGCCTGGCTAAGGAGAAAAGGGAAGAGGAAAGAGGGGGGAAAAAGGAGAAGTGTGAGAAGGGAAGAACAGGAGGTGAAGGAAGAGAGGGGAGGGAAAAGGAAGGGAAAAGAAGAAGGATTCAAAATTAATCTAGGGCAGGTGAGATAACTCCATAGATAGAGGCACTTACCACCAAGCTTAATTATTTGAGTTTTGATCCCTGGAATCCACACAGTGGAAGGAGAGAACCAACTCCCACAAGTTGTCCTCTGACCTCCACATACACATTGTAGTAATGTATGCAGCCCCCCAACAAATGGATGGATGGATGGATGGATGGATGGATGGATAATCTAGCCTAATAATACAAAATGAAGTACAAAAATCCTATGAAATTGAAGCCAGGTGGTGGTGGAACACGCCTTTAATCCCAGCACTCGGGAGGCAGAGGCAGGAAGATCTCTGTGAGTTTGAGGCCAGCCTGGTCTACAAGAGCTAGTTCCAACACAGGCTCCAAAGCTACAGAGAAACCCTGTCTCAAAAAAAAAATCCTATGAAATTATCATAGTGCATTAAAACAACAAAGCAAAACAAAAACCCTTCCACTAAGAACTACTGAGTATCTGTAAAAGGCACAATGTTAGAAACCACAGGTTTCTCTCGCAGGTACAGGCCTCGATTAGCTGATCTTAGTAGATAAGAAGGCACTTGTCCTGTGGCATTTCCTGCATTTTCTGTGAGTTTCAGAAGTACACAGGAAGACACAATCCAGCACTAGGAGACTTTGGAAACAGGGTTCTCCCACCCAAGCTCACCCACCTCTTTATTCTGCTGTGTTTGCTGCCACCTCCAGCGTCTTCTCAATGCTTCCTTCTCGATACCCTTCTCCATTAGTGCATACAAAGCTTTCCTCAGCACCAAGTCTCTATCATGGAAACCCCACATCCCTGTGGGGAGAAAGCAAGGCACAGGACACTGTATTAATTCAGCTCCACTTACTAATCCAGCCTTTGTTTTGTGATGACAGGGATCAAACCCAGGGCCTCAAAAAAGGACGGGGAGGATAGAATACATTCCCCAAACTCCTGAAAGGAAGCCCTTACTCCTCAGCAAATCTAACAAACCAAACACAACAGCCAGTAAGACTGGTATGGCACCACGACTATCAGTATCAGAGCTCATGAAAGAGCTAGAAAATGGGGACCCCTTCCAAAGCTAAGAACAAATATATGGAGTTGTGAGTCCAAAGTCAATGTCACAAGAACCAAGTAGAAGAATAATCAAGTATAATGTTGCCACTACACATGTATATAACCACACAAACTTTGCTTACTATGCTCATTACTCCTAGAGCTCAGCTCAGAATGGAGCCTAAACCAGCCCTGTGCTTGTCTATCTCTAAGGACAACAAGCCAAGTCAAGGCTTGCCCATCTCTCTAAGTCTGCTGTGAGGCCTCACTTGACCTGAGATGAAATCCTACACGTGATGTTTGGCTCAACTGCTTTCTCTCTACAGGGGAGGGAAGACCATTTTTAAGACTCACCAAGAGAGGCTGCATGCAGGAGGCAGTTCCCATCTCCAGTAGTTGCTAAAGGAAGCAGCCTCTGACAGGTGGAGTCCACACTGACCCACCAATTCAAACGCCCTACAGACATGACAGTAGGAGAAAAGGAGAGAAGTGGATTAAGAAGACAGCCCGGAATAAAACTACTCTTTTTCCCCTTGAGATGGGTGTCTTGTTACACATGACCCTTCTGCCTAAGCCTCCCAATAGAGATACTGCATGCTCTGTATTACTGTTGTTGTTATTATTTATTATTATGATTTTGAAACATGATCTCATGAAACATGACGGGCCTTGAACTACTGATATATCTGCCTCTGCATCCTTAGTGCTGAGATTATAGGAACACAACATTAAGTCCAGCCTCTGTGACTCTCTATATAGTCTTTCTTACAGTTAGAATGTATAGGGATGACTGGTTAGATCAGTGGTCTTAAGGAAGGACTGTTTTGTCTCATGGGATCATTAGCCAATGTATGAAGATATGTCTGTTTGTCACAATTGGTAGAGAGGTACATACTTCTGGTATCTAGCACACAGAGACCAGAGAGAACATTATATTATATTATAAACATAAAATAATGCTAAAGGTAGCATGTACAATAAAGAATTAATCTGGCACCAAAAGTCAATATTGCTCAGACTGAAACTGTTAGCTACTTTGTTTGAATCCTTCACTCTGGCAAAAAGACTGGTAAATACACTGGAAGCAAAGCTCAACTTAACTGAATCATAAACAAAAGAAAAACTATGTATGGTATATGTCTGTATCATTCAGCACTCTGCAGGTATGCAGTGTGACATTAAAGTTATAATCAAAAAGAAAAAGTACATAAAGCATCCAAGTAAATCAGACTCAACTGTGAATGGCAATCTCACAATTGCCAAGTCAGGCCTTACAGGAGGGAGCTAGTTTACAAACGACCCTTAAAATTGTGTTTCCTTGAGCAATTAAAAGTTTACAAAAGGTAAAACGGCTTATAATTTCACTAGATAACTTGCTAGCTTCTGAAGAAAGTTAAAGTTAAGATAGATGGATATGAAATGAAAAAACTCCCTTTCCATGTCCCCACTTCCAACCTCCAATTTTCCTTCCATTAGAACTGAAAATCTTTTTTAATATTTAAGTTACGTGTATGAGTGTTTTATCTGCATGTATGTCTATGTCCCACAAGAATGCCTGGTGCCCTCAGAGGTCAGAAGAGGGCACTGGCTCTCCTGCAAGTAGAGTTATAGACAACTTCAGGCTTACATGTGAGTACTGAAACAAAACCTGTGTCCCTGAAAGAACAGATTCTGAGCCATATCTCTAGCCCCCTTGGGGATTTTTTTTTCCATTTTTGAGAAGGGTCTCAATAGGTAGTGATAGCTAGCCTGGAGCTTGCTGTGTAGACCAGGTAGATCAGATGGGCCTCTTCTGTCTCTAGAATGCTGAGATTAAATAAAAGAACACACCACTAAGCCTGGCCTTTTTCAATTTCCACAACCACCATGAGGATATTCTAACACATAAGTTCTTCCCAGAACCGCCAACTACCATACTGTTTTACAGTAGCTAATTTTTTAAAAATTACACTTAGCGTGTGAGTGTGTAAGCAATGGCACATGTGTGCATGTCACAGCACCTGTGTGGAAGTGAGAGGACAACCGGTGGGAGTCAGTTTTCTTCTTCACAGTGTGAGTCCCAAGGATCAAAAGTAAGTCATCAAGCCTTGGTGGCAGATGTCTTTATCCACTGAGCTATCTTGCTGACTCAAACTAATTTTAATGCTAATTTAAAATGAACTCAATTGTAAAGGTAAATAAATGTAAATAAAAGTCATAGATGTGACTCTCAGTGCATCATCTATAGCCTTGGTCCTCTGTGTTTGCAAAGGTGCTCCATGGCCAATTATAATCAGTCATATTTGTTCATGTGTTGATTTGGGGGCATCAATTACTAAACCCTTCACATATATATCTGGTTTCCCTTCTATTAAATAGGAACTTTCCAAAGTATCTAATGTTTATTCCTGCCCCTCACCACACACCTGGCTAATTTTCATTCATTATCTCAGGACACGTATCTGACTGACCCCTATCTGTGACAGCTATCAGATAACACACTTAAAAAAGAGGTTGCTGACGAAGACTGGCCCCTTTCTGTGGCTGCAGGCAGAGACTAGAGGAGGCATCGCTGAAGAGGAAACACCCACTGACCTGCCTGTTCCAAGGCGACCAGCATGGACTGTTCAATGAGATCCCTCTCTATGAAGCTTCGGAAGTCTTCTTTGTACACAGTGAGATCTGGAAGCTGGAAGGCACAGATGGGCATTTCCAGGGGGTGCTCACTGCTCCCCCCACCCCCACCATTGGAGGAGACATGGGACCGGGCCAGGGAAACAATGCTGGAACTGGCGTGGGAGATGCCCCTAGACAGGCGTTTTTCTGCAATGAGAAATGGAGTCACCTTAGAATATATGCAACCCATTTTGAGAACTCTCCACAGATGAAGGAGGTAAGAGCACTTGACCGTTTCCAGTCAAGGAAAAACTACCTAACCAGCTACTTCTGAACCTCATGGTATTTCTTTTCTTAAGCCAAATACAAAGGGGAGAATATACAAAATGGTATTTTTGTAGATACTTAGAGTAGTACAAAAACACATGCACCTAACCTTGTTGAGGTTTCCCTGACTTTCCTTTTCCTATGACCTCATCTTTGACTCCCATTTTTCAACATGAGTGTGAGTCATTCACTTAGCAACTAGGTCATTTTTCTAGTGGGAAGAAGAACAAGTAAGAGAAATGGGCTTTCATTTGGTTGGATTTAGCCAAATAATGACTCTAGTAAATCCTACATCTTAGAGGATGTAGAAAAGATTTCCATTATAGAAAAGAAAGTGACAATGTCATCACCAACATCTATATTATTTACTATAACTTTTATTAGTATTCATATTTATCATAAATTTACAGAGACAGTCAAATTTTAATATGCCAGAGAGCAAAACAGTAATGTAAACTGCATCCCCAAATCATTTCATATGTTTTTTTTTTTTTTTTTGGTTTTTTTTTTCGAGACAGGGTTTCTCTGTGGTTTTGAAGCCTGTCCTGGAACTAGCTCTTGTAGACCAGGCTGGTCTCGAACTCACAGAGATCCTCCTGCCTCTGCCTCCCGAGTGCTGGGATTAAAGGCGTGCGCCACCACCGCCCGGCTCATTTCATATGTTTTAAGTACATGGCACCTGCAATGCCCCAGCCCATGTGACATTATGAGCAAAATGTGTCAGTATAATATTATGTATTTGCACAGCTTGAAGTACATGGGTGATTATCACAGGGGATGGGAGCTCTAATGCTATGCAGTTGTTGATGTGAAGCAAGCAAGAACTGTCTCAGCCCATTGTATAGCTAGCTACAAATTACCAGCTGAATTTGGTGGGAAGAGAGTTAAGGAATGAAAACACCTTTAAAGGAGCACACAAACTCTTCCTAATCCACATGCAAAAGCTTTGTCCTCAGTTCAAGCAATACCTTGAACGATGTCATCCTGTCTCTGTAGGATTGGTCGAGAAGGGCGAGTGGGTTCTCTATCAGAACACCCTTTTTCAGGGGTCTTAGAACAACTACTCCCTCCACTAAAGGGTGGAGACAGGTTCCCAGCATGGACTTGGCGTAGCTGTTCAAAATCACTGAGGGCAGCACTCACATCCCAGTTCTTTCCTAATAGAAAAAAAAATACAAAAAAAAAAAAGAAAAAAAATACCATTTTAGACCCAGAGTATTATGAAACTGGAGAGAGACATAGGAAGACCATTCTAACCACCCTAGCACAACCAAGCAGGCCAAGTATGGCAGCACAAGCTTACAATGCTAGAACTCGAGAGGGTGAGACAGGAGGATCAAAGAATTTAAAGCCAGTCTGGTCTACCTCAGACTCAGTTTAAAAACACCTCATATCAAAAATAAACCTAGTAATGCCAGGCAGTGGTGGCAGATGCCTTTAATCCCAGCACTTGGGAGGCAGAAGCAGGCGGATCTTGGAGTGAGAGGCTAGCCTGGTCTATACAGGACAGCCAAAGCTATACAGAGAAACCCTGTCTCGAAAAAGCAGATAGATAGATAGATAGATAGATAGATAGATAGATAGATAGATTAGGTGATAGATATAGTTATAGATGAACAAACAAATAAATGAGCCAAGTAAGAACATACTAATAATGCACACCACAATTCTATCAACTTTCTTATCCAACTACTTTAATTTTCTTCAATCTGAAGCACTGATTTTCTTTATTGTCTATTTCCTATGTAAACTATATAATGATACTTTGTCTCTAAACTCAAAGGGCTCTTCAGAGACTTAGTCACTAAAATGAAACTCCTTTTACAGATAAATGAGACAGAGCTTACAGAAGTACCATGACTTGTTCAAAGTCACAGTTAGTTTGCACCGGGCTCATTAGCTGAGGTAGATTCTAGGATGTCTGAAAGCCACCTAACGGTGAAACTCTCCAGTGAAGAGTTTCTAGGTATCACAGCACCAAAAGGAGCTGCACTGCTCCTGCTTTACAAACAGCTCTCTATCTCAAAGACTCGATCGCAGTTTTCTGCAGCTAAATTATTTCATACATGTTGGCTGTTTGCACCTGTGCACTCTAGCTGCTGCAGCCTTGGGTTAGCTTCTCACCGAGTACCCTATACCTCCAATCTACCCAAGAAATCCCATGAGATTTGTTTTTCTAAAGCACCGTTCTAACCATTTTAGCTCTGTTCAAATTCTTTATGTAATGGCTCATCACTAATCCTTTGCCCATTATTTGAGACTTTCTATGACCTCTCCTATTTCCTAGCCTTTTCTCTGTGCTATAATTTACTTATTTATGAAAATGTAGATAATAATACTAGCATGCTGTGTAGCCATTTCTTCCAGGTTGGATATGATCATTGCCATCTGACACCCTCTTCTGGCCTTCTTAGATACTAGGCATGCACATAGTATACATACATGTCAGGCACTCACACACAGACATAAAATAAGACCAATTTTTTTTTAATCCCCCTTAGTAGGTAGATGGTAATGAGATTAATGACGTTCATTAGGTCCCTCCTTTGCTCAAGGATATATAAAAATTTAAGAAATGGTTCAAAGACAGACTTTTTGGTGGTATAGCTGTCCAGTTTTCCACATGCTTGGCATGCTACCCATGCTCCTAAAGTAACCTCAATAAGTTCTGGTTCAGCAGGCTAATTTTGGTTGAGGTAGCTTTTATAATCTGCTCCCTCTATCAGGGATGGATAGAAATATCCTTCCCCAGAAAAAAATCATGCAATGCTGTGCCTGAAGCACAGTGCTGTTCTGAAGGTTAAGCGAGTCGAAAGCACGTACAACAGTATCTTGTATGCAGATTTCCACATGCATTTACTACTGCTGCCACAGTCTCTGTTCTTTTTTTTTAAAATATTTATTTATTTACTTATTATGTATACAATATTCTGTCTGCATGTATGCCTGCAGGCCAGAAGAGGACACCAGACCTCATTACAGATGGTTGTGAGCCACCATGTGGTTGCCGGGAATTGAACTCAGGACCTTTGGAAGAGCAGGCAATGCTCTTAACCTCTGAGCCATCTCTCCTAACCCATGCTTGCTGACTTAATTCTAATACTCTTCAACTCTCTTTCTTCACTCTTTGTTCTAGTCTCCTCTCGTGTTCTGGTCTCCTTGCTGTTCCTAGATCACACCAAGACTGCTCCCACCAAGGCCTCTCTTGCCTATTCTACTGCATAGAAGACTTTTCTCCAGTGTATCTACATATGTGAATCTTTGTAAACTTAAAGTATCTGTTCAAATATCACATTCTTAGTCAGTCCTACGCTGGCTTCCCAGTTTAAAATCACATGCATTCCATCACTCTGCTCAGTTTCCCAAATGCACTCCATACCCTAGAACATACTTTACAATGTGTATCTCTACCATACTTGTTTACTGTTTATCCTACTGCAACATCAGGATAGGAACTTTGGCACAAGCATCCAAAATAATACCTAGCATCTAGAAGAGACTCAATAAATATTTGCTGAATAAATGGAGAGTATTTTCCCTAAATCGATTCATCTATTAATCTATAGCCTGTTTTAAGAACAGGATCTCCAACTGTCAGGAAAGTACCTTAAAACCATCAGGCCAACACGGAATGCCAACCATCTCCACCCCAAAACACGTGTGCCCTCTCTTCCTCATGTGACCCCTAAATCAGTAATAGAATCACAATCCCTGAAAGTCCCAAGCCTTCAGTTTCAGCTCCTCACACTCTCTTCTCCCTCACTATCGCAGTTAATCCTCAGGGTCTAAATATCTCTCACATCCATTCCTTCTTGTCTATTTTTATTATCTCTGCCCTGACTCAAATCCTCATAATACTTACCTAGTCTTTGGTGTTTTGAAAGGGAGACTCTCTAATAAGACTTTCTAAGTCTCTCTGCTCCTAATCTTTTTTCTAATTTATTCTTTGTACTACAACCAAAGTTAATGTTTTGTTGTTTTGATTTGAGAACAAGGCTAGTCTCAAATTCACAGAGATCCGCCTGCCTTTCCTGAGTGCTGTGATTATGTGACATTATGCCTCGGAAAGAGTTAACTTTTAAAGAAAAACAGCATGAGAAAGAAGGAGACAACATCAAAGTTCTTTATTTCTTTTCTAAATTGTACCTTTTTAAAAAGTCACTTATTTTTTTATTTTATGTGTATAAATGTTTAGTCTGCATGTATGTGTGTGTATCACATGCTTCCCTGGTGTTCAAGTAAGCCAACTGAAGTTGCATAAAGCTATGAGCCACTATGTGAGTACTGGGAACTGAACTCAGGTTCTCTGTAAGAGCAGCAAATGCTCAACTACTGAATTATCTCTCTAGCCACTAATTTATATTTAAATCCATCAACTTCTCTCCCTCTCACCCACACTGTGGTCTAAGTCACCATCATCTCTCACCTGAACTATGGCAATTCTTAGCTGGTTTTATCATTGGCCACTTCCAATACAATCCTATTGGAATAGCTTGAACACTGAAACTGGAAAAACTATTCTTATTCTATTAAAAACTTCACTTCCAATGAACATAGAAGTCCCTTACTATGGCCAACAAAGGCCCCATATTCTGCTTCTTGTCCACCTAACCAGCTCCCAATCATTCTCTCATCTCTCTCACTATTTCTCTTTACATTACATCCATCTCTCTCTACTCTTAGGGTTGTCTGTAACTACTTCTCCTGGGTAGGCCTTCCAAACTCTAGAGCTGAACCAGATTTCCATCTTCATTCTCATAGCACGCTCAGCTTTTTTTTTATATATAACATGAGTGTTTATAACATATAAGAAGTAATTTGTAACATAATCATTAAGAGACACATTATAAAAAATTGTCAAAGGTTCAAATCCTATGTAGCTTCACTAAACCTCAGTTTCAAAGTTATAGCATGGTAGTTGAGAAAATACATCTCAAGTACCTGGCATATGCTAGGCACACTGCACATTTTATAAGAAGATGATTTCATTTTTAATTTTTTTCTTAATTTTGAGTGTGTTGTTGCGCTGCGTGTAGTATATGTGTGTGTGGTGTGTGCATACAAGTGTGTATAGAGGTTAAAGCATGTGTGTGGTATATATGTGTGGTGTGTATATACAAGTGTGTAGAGGCTAGAGCTCAAGATCAAGTGTTTTTACTTATGATTATGATTTTAGTGAGCTAATTTAACTTTCTTCTTGGATTATCTGAATATAAACTCATGAAGAAAGCTCTGAAAACATACAAGGTGAAGGGATTTTGGATTTTAAAACTAGTTGGGCACACCAAGCAGGTAATAAGAAGCAACTTAAATGGAGGTCTATGGTATACAGAATACTTTTCTGATCACCTTAAATATTCCTAGTAAATATCGCATTTTGCTTTCTTTTCTCACTCTCTCCTTACCTTCCAGAAGATCTCGGGCCAGCCCTGGCTCTGCACCTGTAGAACGGACAAAATCCGACAGGACAGCATCCATGTCCAGGGTCATGGGATCATCAGGTTCTCTCAGGCAGCAGGATGTGAGCAGAACATAGATCAAAATCCAGGCTTGAACCTGAAAAGGAGATAATCACACAAGGCTCAAGTAAGTACCTAGAACAACATCATCCCAGCCCAATTCCAACAGGTTTATCTAAATGGGAAACTATTCTGGTTCCTTCATTCTAGTTGAAGTTTGAAATAAAGAAGTTTAAAATTATTTGAAGAATCACACTTGCCGGGCGGTGGTGGCGCACGCCTTTAATCCCAGCACTCGGGAGGCAGAGGCAGGCGGATCTCTGTGAGTTCGAGGCCAGCCTGGTCTACAAGAGCTAGTTCCAGGACAGGCACCAAAGCTACAGAGAAACCCTGTCTCAAAAAACCAAAAAAAAAAAAAAAAAAAAAAAAAGAATCACACTTAATTTCCTCATTAACAATAATGTCTTATTGCCTACAATAACCACAAACCACTGTGAACAAAGCTTTCTCTCCGCTATTTATTTATTTATTTATTTTATTTGCTTGTTTGAAAGAGGCACTAGGTATTAAACCTAGGGCTTGTATATGCTGCGCAAGTGCTCTATACCCACCCCAGCGTCAAGTCTGCTTCTCCAGTTGAAAGAAAGGAGGCAGTAGAATGCTGCCCAATAAAGCTCCCCAGCCTGCAATGTTTCCTAACATAGCCCCATGTTCATTTCTTTCCTGAAACATATTTATTATTAAGGGTTTTAGTTTATTTTTGGAGACAATGCTTTATTCTGCAGTCTTCTTGCCTCAGCATCTTGAATGCCATCATGCCCTGGGTTTCCTCTGAAGTTAATTTAATCATTCCCTGTCTAACCTCTCTTGATTTTCATACGCCAAGTTTTGGGAAATAGGAAGTTGTGTGTGTTCTTTCCTGATGTATCAGCAGAACAAATCACTTGACACACATGGCACACTGGCCCTTAGCAGACTCTTATTAAACAAATGAGTACTACACAGCAGAGGAGTTCAGGGTTGAATAATATTCCCTTGCTGGCTGAGTAGACAGGAAGTGTAAAGTAAAAACTGAGAACTACTGAAAATAAAACAGCAAACTATTCTACACATCTGAGTAGAGCCCAAAGGCTCATCATAAAAGCAACTTCAGGAGTTCAGGAAACAGGCAGAATCAGAAATGCTTTTCTCCTTCCAGGATAGATGAGTACTAGGTAAGTTTACCTGAAAAAAAAAAATCCTTTCTTTCAGACTTGACTTTAGCAGAAACTATGTCTCTGACCTGACCAACTGGCACCAAGCCAACATTCCTCTGTGGTTAACAGACCCAGTTGAGAAAGCAAAAATAGGATGGAGAACAACCTCTGACCAAATTCACCAGGTCTAGAGAAGGTGGCTCATTCATAAAGTGCCCAGGTACCCACTGCCCACTACACCCACTAATTCCATCTTTTTGGAAAAGCCAAAACTAGAATTCTTGAAAACAACAGGTGACTCAGACAGAACAGTCTTCCTACACCTAAAGCCTAAGGATGACTCCCAAGCATTTTTTTTTCATCCCGCTTCTGTCCCAGGATACAACTTGTTTAGTGGTATGATCTGATCCCAATTTTCTTCATTCCTTGAATATTGTAAGGCAAATAAGAAATATTTGTGGGTTATAAAAATTCTAACTCTCTAACCTGATAACTCATTGTCTTGGTGGTGGTAGGTAGCTCTTTTGATATTTTTTTTTTTTGAGAAAGAGAAACTATTATTTCTTTTAGTGCTCTAACAACACAAGAAGTCAGTGGATACAGGACATGATTTATTTTATCCCAGGCCAACATTTAGCAAGGTATCTACAATATTTCAGGAGTAATAAATACCTGCTGAATAAACTCAGTGTAAACAAATGTCTCGTCTTCATCTGCCTCAACATACTAAGCACCAAGTCAACATTCCTCTGAGGTTATTAACCTCCCTCTAACCCAGAACTGCATGAAGAACTTCTGACCAAGCTTTCTAAACAGTGACCCAATCAATCCCCTTGAAGTCTGTGCTTAAGAACTTAACTTCAAGGCAGGCAAGTGGTAATGTCTATAATACCAGCACCCAAGAGGCAGAGGCAGGAGGATTGAGAATTCAAGGCTACAAAGAAAGACCCTATCTCAAAAAATATTAAAAAGTAAATGCTTTCAGAAATCATAGATGAATGAAAGGCTTTTCATCTCCTAGCGCACATGAGAATTCTGTCCAAAGCCCACGGTGTTCAGCACTTTGGTCACAGGACATGGGCACTGCCCAGTAACAACATATAATTAAACAATGCAAAATCAAGAACCTAGCTCCAAAATGAACTTTAATCTCTGTTCTTAAAAGATAAAACAGGAGGGCTGGAGAGATGGCTCAGTGGTTAAGAGCATTGCCTGCTCTTCCAAAGGTCCTGAGTTCAATTCCCAGCAACCACATGGTGGCTCACAACCATCTGTAATAAGGTCTGGTGCCCTCTTCTGGCCTTCCGCATACACACAGACTATTGTATACATAATAAATAATAAAAATAAATATTAAAACAAAAGATAAAACAGGACTGATGAGTGTGGTGGCTCAGGCCTTCAATCCCACACTCAGAAGTAGAAGAGGGCAGAGCTCTGTGAGGAAAGGCCAGCTTGGTCTACAGAGTGAGAGCTCAGAGCTATGAGAGCTATGAGACCCTGTCTTGATAGACAGACAAGAAAAGTAAAGAAACAAAACAAAGCAAGCCACTTTAACAACCTTCTGAGAGGATATGGGGGAAAAACAGAAACAGCACTCAACAGAAAGGAGAAGACCTGACTAAGCCACAGGCACGCAGACAATTTCCAGCCAGATTCAGGCTCCTGAGCACGAGAAGCAAATGAAAACTATTGGTGCTATGGCATCTGAGATCTTACATGGTAACAGAAGGTAGGTCATTCATTTCCAAACATCTAAGATAAACAAATAACTCATATCTGGAAAGACTGGCTCTTCAGCAAAAATGTGAAGCACTAAAGCAAGCTTCTTGGCAGCACATTCTTGTATTTGATTCTCCAGGTACATGGCATGGACTGTGCCCTTTGCCCAACAGGTAAGGACAGCAGCTCTTGTTACATCACCACACCTGGCTAAAGGTTCTCAAATTCCATGGGGATATCGAAGCCAACGGCAAAGACTCTGCCTCAGCACACAGGAAGGAAAAACCCAAACAAGAAAACAAAACACTAACCTTCAACTTTTCAAATAAAGGGAGGCAGCACTCAAATCTTTGTTGATTATATGTATAGACAGATTCAAACGTCAAAATCAACCAGTTTCCTAGTAAAGGGGCCATCACCAACTACTCAGACCAGTGCAAGGACTCCTCTATTACATCTCTAGCAGGTCATCTAGTTCCCGAGTGAATACAAGCTTTGATAGGGAGCTCAATGCTTTCAGCTCCAACTGTTATAAACTGTTTTCTTCTAAACAAAAACCAAGTCTATCACCAGATCCCTCCCCCAGTACTGTTCACATAATGGTTCTTATTCTGTCCTATAGAACAAAATTAACTCCTGAGAATGATGGATTTTTTTTCAATGGAAAATATTAAATCATTACTTCACATAAATACTTGTTGTGGCCCAACATCATGACTCTGTCATCCTCAATCATTTTGCAAAGAATTGCTGGTCCAGCAGGTGAGCTCTTTCCTCATTTGCAAAGTATTGTCTGGAGTTCACTTTCCCCTTGGCGTGCCAACCGAACTTTGCCCTCCACATCTATCACCATCTGGTCTGTCTTAGTTTGGATTCTTATTGCTGTAAAGGGATACCATGACTACGGCAAATCTCATAAAGAAAATATTTAATTGGTGGTGATTCTCTTACATTTTCAGAAGTTTAGTTCATTATGATCATGAAGGGGAGCATGGCAGCATGCAGGCAGACATGGTGTTGGAGCTGAGAGTCCTACATCTTGCAAACAACAAGAAGTTGACTGACTCACATTAAGTGCAGCTTAAGAAAAGAGACCTCAAAGCCTGCCCCCACAGTGACACAGTTCCTCCAACAAGACTATACCTCCTAACAGTGCCACTCCCTTTGGGGACCATTTTCTTTCAAACCACCACATTCTACTGCCTAGACCCCAAAGGCTTATAGCCGTATCATAATGGAAAAATGCATTCAGTCCAACTTCAAAAGTCCCGATAGTTTCTTACAGTCTCAAACATGTTTGAAAGTCTAGTCTCTTTTGAGATGAATGGCAATTTCTTAACTGCAATCACCTATAAAAATCAAAATCAAAAAGCAGATTACATACTTCCAACATATAATGGCACTCCAACACACAGGGAAGGGAGCATAGTGAGGAGATACTGGACCAAAGCAAGACCAAAATCAGCTTGGCAAACTCTAGACTCTGCATCTCCATGTCTGATGTCAAAACACTCTGCACATCTCCAGCTCTATTCAGCTTTGCTGACTGCAGCACACTTCTTTTTCTTGGGCTGCTTCACTCCCTGTTAGCAGCTCTCCTCCATAGCTATCCCATGACTCTGGCATCTCTAACATCTTGGGGTCTCCAAAGCAATCCAGGCTTCAACTTCACACTTTAACACAATGGCCTCTCTAAGGACTCCATTCAGGGACACCCCTGACACATCCCTGGTCTCACTGGCTGTTCTAAAGTATGGAGGAAACTTCTATAATCCATTTCTTCCACCTTTAATTCTTTTTTTTTTTTCTTTTTCGAGACAGGGTTTCTCTGCACGCCACCATCGCCCGGCTCCACCTTTAATTCTAAAGCCAGAACCACACGGCCAAAGCTTTCAAGCCCTGATGCTTGTTGGGGCTGGAACATGGCCCCCAGTTTAACTCCAGTCTTACCAGATTTTTCTTTTCCTTTTTTGCCTAAGCTTGGACATTATCTTAAATTTCCAAACTCTAAGAGATGAGATTTGTATCACTAACCTTCTGTTACACATGAAAATGACAAATAACCTCAAAGAAGTTAGGTGATTCATCAATGTTACTCAAGAACTAACTAGCAGAACAAAGATGTTTACAAGTCAACCCACAGCACGCCAGAGACCTGGTCCTTATTCTATACCGCACT